ACAAATGATTAAACTCAATTATCTCAAAATAAGTTAAATGTAAAAATGGGCTGTTTCTATTGTCCGCACCCCATATAGTTACTATTATTTGTTACTATGTAGTTACTATATTATTATTGCACGTTGAGATATCTATATTTTATAGTTAGAAATTCATTTTTTTTAATTTACAGGTACTGAATTCACTTGGATTATTTGGAGGTGCATTTGGATTAATTACATGTTTCTATGCAATACTTTTTGGTAGATATATATTTATTTTGAATAATCAATAATTTGAATAATTTTTCAATTAAATATAATTAAAATATTTTTATTTTAGGTGCAAGCGCTATTAAACCATTTGGTTTGGTTCAAAGACATCTTTATAAAGTTAACCTAATGGTACAAGAGAAATTATTAATTACTTTAGAATCAATGCCATTCATTAGTCATTTAACTAATGATACAAATGATTCGAATGATGAAATTACAATCAAACAACTTGAAAAAAAATTAAATTTACTACAATTATTTTTAAGAGATTATGTAGTAAACGTGCAATATTTAGAAAAAATTCAACAATCAAATACAGTAACTAAAGAAGAATCCGATAGTGACAAACATACATAACGGAAAATCTTTTTTGGAGGAACCAGAAATTTTTAAAAACTATATATGAATAATAAAATTATTTATTATTATAAAAAAAAAAACTTTTAAAAATTATATATAAGTAGCATATCATTTTTGACCTTTAATAAAGAATACATCTCCGACTTTTAATTGGACTGTTAAATTTTTGTATGTGAACGTGGAGGAAAAATTGTGATATTTTAGATTAACAAATTATCAAATGGCATAACCCAAGATCGACTTTTGTACTGGTTAAATAACTTTATTTTGCTAAATAGATTGTTAGATTATTTATTCCTCAATTTTCAAATATAACATCCAAAATTTGGTTTTCGTTAAAATTATGACACTAACGATTATTGCCAACGCTAAAGTTTGAATACACTTAACCTAATTTTTAGCAACTTACGAGTGAACAATAAGAAAAACTGCATTAACAAAGGTCATGCATATACACAGTAGCTCTCGATATAACGGAGGCCATGTGGCCATGGTTCCAGTCCTTTGCTCCGTTATATCAAAAGCTCCGTTATATCAAAAGCTCCGTAACATCAAAATCTCATAATATATAAAATATAGTAAATCATAATTTGGTTCCATTATAATTTTCCGTTATATCGATGGTCCGTTATATCAAGAGCCACTGTGTATTCGTCGAGCTTGTAGCAATATTTAGAGGAGGTGTCGCATTTAAAGACCCCTAGCAATGCAATATCAATATAAAAAATGGTTGCTGTTATATTGGAGTTGGATTTTCACTATTGATTATGATAAGAGGGGCTATTGTTATATAAAATTTTGTAAGAATGGTTTGTTAGCGTGCGGAAGGAGTTTCATGAAAGCTAGATTTGCATGGCGGTGAAAGCTAGCATGATGGTAAAAGCAAGATTTTTTACATGCATGAATGTGAAAGATAGATTTTGCAGCATGATGATGTTAGATCAATTTTAAATGACTTGCACTGATTTAGACGGTAGTACTTTTTTACAGAGCTTTTGTTGCCCGCAGTATTTGAATTATTTGTCGAATCCCTAGCGTAACATAAAGAACTCTAGATGATTTCAGTAATCAAAGCTTTCTCGGCTTAGACGTAAGATTTAATCTAACAAGCATCCCTTTCATATCCTACAGTCTTTCTTCGATCATTGCAACCCTTAACTCCTTCTTTAAGTTTCTATAGTGGATTCTACATTTCATGTTCAACAATTTTTAAAATTTCTGTAGTTATGCGCATTTGAATTTGATGCCTATCGGATTTTGGTATATGTAATTTTATTAGATTCTTATGAAAATTTTGTAAAGTTTTAAACTCGTCAATAATAATGAGTTTAATACTTTAATAAGTTGTTTCTGTATTTGAAAATACACCCAGAATCATTAGATAATATCTGATGATCCCGTTAGAACCTCCGCCCTACAATTTTATAACCCTCAATTTAATGATTAATACT